GGGGGTATGCACTATGGGAAGAAGACAAGCCGGGGGAGGGGCAATGTTCTGCTGGGACACCTCGGGTCCGGCCATTCATGAGGATGTCACTCTCACACGTCCCACCGACCTAAACATTGTTCCTGACCCCGCCCCCCCCCTCATGGACACGGTATCACCTGATGGGAGTGGCCTCTCTCAGCAGGATAATGATCCCGGCCACACGGCACACATGGAGGGTGAAGAATGGTCTGAGGTGATGACTCCGCCTCCAAATTCTCCAGATCTCCGTCCAATCGATCATCTGTGGGAGGTGCTGGAAGGCCGATCACCTCACACCTTCCAGGACCGGTGATCACTATAGTGACTCGCACCTCGCCCCGGTCCCATCATGTGACATTGCCCCGCCCACTACGCATACAATGCGGTTCGGTGGACTTCCCGGGCCTTGGCGGTGAATCGGTGGGCGGCGCGATTTCTTGGCGAGAAAGACTCCAGCAGATTGTCGGCGGGATGGAGAGAAGAGTCTGCGGAACGCGTGGGGCGGTTCACGGGAAGTTCAGCTGCTAAATATACCAGAAAACGGAGGGAAAAAATCAAATATTCGGCAGCCAAATAAACCTCCGCAGAGCGGCGGCGGCGCGTCTCCAACCGTCAGAAACAACAACTTCAAAGGGCCAATCTTCAGACGGAATGAAGGATGAAAGAGACGATGCCGAGAAACGCGCTCCAACCTGAACCCCCGGGACGCAGTCCGGCCGCAACCTCATCAACTATTTCTTCCGTGACCGGTGAACGGACGCCGACAACAGGGCCCAGCCGTAACCCATAGCAACCGCATTTCACTATAATGTCATCAGATCAATGAAACAGATCTGAGCACCTGACCGCCATTCCTCCCGGAATCAGAAGTATGACAGATGACAGAACCAGAGAGAACTAATCCCAGGACCCCAGCGCTGCAAGACAAGAGAGCCACCCGACACCGAGCCCAACCCCCACCCTGGAGTGGTTGTCCCCTGCACAAGAGACGGTTCCCTTTCTGAATGAAGTGATACATTGTGTGATGTTGGAATACATTGAGGGCGTCACAATGTATCTCATACACACAGTCAGAGGTGATACACATTCCGCACATGAGGGGGGATGGGAAGTACAGGTCTCTTTGTACTCCGGGTGATACATTGTCATTGCCCTGTACAGCAGCGGAGTTCTCCTTTACTGGCCACAGCCTCATATCAGCTACGGATGAGGATGACCCCGGACAGGATATTATTATGGTCTGGGATGAGTGTCGCCCTCTTGGGATTGTAGAGGAATTTCATTACTGTCACCAATCCTCAAACAGCTAATAATCCTATGAGAGGCGAGCGCAATCCACTACGCTCGCTGTGTGCGGTCTCGGCTCTCGCTGTGTGCGGTCTCGGCTCTCACAGTGTGCGGCGCGGTCTCAGCTCTCGCAGTGTGTGGCGCGGTCTCAGCTCTCGCAGTGTGTGGCGCGGTCTCAGCTCTCGCAGTGTGTGGCGCGGTCTCAGCTCTCGCAGTGTGTGGCGCGGTCTCAGCTCTCGCAGTGTGTGGCGCGGTCTCAGCTCTCGCAGTGTGTGGCGCGGTCTCAGCTCTCGCAGTGTGTGGCGCGGTCTCAGCTCTCGCAGTGTGTGGCGCGGTCTCAGCTCTCGCAGTGTGTGGCGCGGTCTCAGCTCTCGCAGTGTGTGGCGCGGTCTCAGCTCTCGCAGTGTGTGGCGCGGTCTCAGCTCTCGCAGTGTGTGGCGCGGTCTCAGCTCTCGCAGTGTGTGGCGCGGTCTCAGCTCTCGCAGTGTGTGGCGCGGTCTCAGCTCTCGCAGTGTGTGGCGCGGTCTCAGCTCTCGCAGTGTGTGGCGCGGTCTCAGCTCTCGCAGTGTGTGGCGCGGTCTCAGCTCTCGCAGTGTGTGGCGCGGTCTCAGCTCTCGCAGTGTGTGGCGCGGTCTCAGCTCTCGCAGTGTGTGGCGCGGTCTCAGCTCTCGCAGTGTGTGGCGCGGTCTCAGCTCTCGCAGTGTGTGGCGCGGTCTCAGCTCTCGCAGTGTGTGGCGCGGTCTCAGCTCTCGCAGTGTGTGGCGCGGTCTCAGCTCTCGCAGTGTGTGGCGCGGTCTCAGCTCTCGCAGTGTGTGGCGCGGTCTCAGCTCTCGCAGTGTGTGGCGCGGTCTCAGCTCTCGCAGTGTGTGGCGCGGTCTCAGCTCTCGCAGTGTGTGGCGCGGTCTCAGCTCTCGCAGTGTGTGGCGCGGTCTCAGCTCTCGCAGTGTGTGGCGCGGTCTCAGCTCTCGCAGTGTGTGGCGCGGTCTCAGCTCTCGCAGTGTGTGGCGCGGTCTCAGCTCTCGCAGTGTGTGGCGCGGTCTCAGCTCTCGCAGTGTGTGGCGCGGTCTCAGCTCTCGCAGTGTGTGGCGCGGTCTCAGCTCTCGCAGTGTGTGGCGCGGTCTCAGCTCTCGCAGTGTGTGGCGCGGTCTCAGCTCTCGCAGTGTGTGGCGCGGTCTCAGCTCTCGCAGTGTGTGGCGCGGTCTCAGCTCTCGCAGTGTGTGGCGCGGTCTCAGCTCTCGCAGTGTGTGGCGCGGTCTCAGCTCTCGCAGTGTGTGGCGCGGTCTCAGCTCTCGCAGTGTGTGGCGCGGTCTCAGCTCTCGCAGTGTGTGGCGCGGTCTCAGCTCTCGCAGTGTGTGGCGCGGTCTCAGCTCTCGCAGTGTGTGGCGCGGTCTCAGCTCTCGCAGTGTGTGGCGCGGTCTCAGCTCTCGCAGTGTGTGGCGCGGTCTCAGCTCTCGCAGTGTGTGGCGCGGTCTCAGCTCTCGCAGTGTGTGGCGCGGTCTCAGCTCTCGCAGTGTGTGGCGCGGTCTCAGCTCTCGCAGTGTGTGGCGCGGTCTCAGCTCTCGCAGTGTGTGGCGCGGTCTCAGCTCTCGCAGTGTGTGGCGCGGTCTCAGCTCTCGCAGTGTGTGGCGCGGTCTCAGCTCTCGCAGTGTGTGGCGCGGTCTCAGCTCTCGCAGTGTGTGGCGCGGTCTCAGCTCTCGCAGTGTGCGGCGCGGTCTCGGCGGGGCAGAGACACAAACTACTGGGGGGAATCTCGTTTTGTTTTGATGACTCTGGAATGTATTTTTGTGATTTAATCTGAACATGTAATATTGTATTATGAGTTGCGAGGTTTGCACTCTGTGTATATATATATATATTGCAGTTTGTGGGGGATGTGTCTGTAGATCCGTGTGCCTCTCTGATATAGTGTTCGGGGAATCAGTCACAGTGGATGGTGTGATCTGGGTGTCAGCTCCGCCGCTTCATATGATATCAGCGTGTACACACGTCAGTCCGAGCAGCCGGTGACACGCGAGGCAGACGCGAAGCTGAACGATGGTGACGGTGTCTCTGGTGTGCGCCGGGATCTGTCCGATCTCCTTCTGGACAAAGAGCTGACACTCCGATGTGACGGAGAACGTTCTCAGAGGATACAATGTAACATAAATATAACGATCAGCCGATGATGTCACCACCGCGTGAAAGCGATGATTTATAATCAGCCGTCGCACGGAACGCGCGAATGTCGCAGAACTCGGGTGGAATCTGACGATATGAAGCGGAGACAAGCGGACAGATTTCGGGGCCGCGGAGGAAATTCTCTTTATTTAGCGGATTTTTTTGGCGTTCGTTTTGATAATTTCTCCGTATTTTCTATTTGATGGTTATTTGTGTTTTGCGGTTTCAATGTTTTTATTTCATTGTCTGTTTCTAATAAAAAAAACACTAAAATAATGATTGTAATGG